TAGCTCAGAGGGTGACAGGAAGGCTGCGCTCTGGAACACCTCAACATTCCCAGCTGTCTCAGCTCTCAGGCCAGCGTTCCTCCACCCAGGCAGCACCTTAGAGTTCTGGGTCCTTGGAACAATTCTGTCAAGGATGTCCCCAGACCACTTGGGGATCCCCTGGTGGCCCTGCAGACCTGAAAGTTCATAATTCTACTGTGTGGGCCAAATGAGCCTGGCTCCGTGCCCCCACCCTGTGTCACCCGGCAGCTGGCTGCAGTGTACACTCTGGGCTGTGTGAGGCTCTGGGTTCCAAGCACTCTGACCTTAGGAGCCCGGAGTCCTGTTTGAGGTGGCCTGCCAAGCTGGCCCCTTGTGTCTCAGTCCCTGGCGTGGAGGGAGGGCGTCCCTAAGTGTGGGGTGCATTAGCTGTTGATGCCTGCTCGGTTGGTGTCTGGGGAGGCGTTTCTCAGGCTGGCCCATTTCTTATTCATACAGCCTTGGGGTCCCATCTTGAAGTCCATGGTCTGTGTGATAGCTCACTAAGCACAAGCCCTGGGGTTTGTCTCTTGTTCCTTTTCAAAAGCCATTTCAAAGTCACCAAGATTCGCCTCCTCCTCCTGAGTTAGGGCGGCCTGTGAGCTGCCCAAACTTCCTAGTTCCTCATTCTCCCTCTCTCCCTCTCCCTCTCTCCCCCCCTCTCTCCCTCTCTCCCTCCCTCCCTCCCTCTCTCTCTCTCTCTCTCTCTCTCTCTCTCTCTCTCTCTCTCTCATTTTGGTCTTTGAAGTTTCTTGATTTTTCCTCCTCCTCCTTTCTTTTTTTTCTTTTCTTTTTGTCAGCTCGGCCATGAATCTATTTAACATAAAATAATCCAGTAGGAGGACAATTAGAATATTTTACCTGCCATCTGCCAGAAGTGGGTGAAGGGACTTTGTCGTAGCCACCCTCTTCATCTACACGGCGAGGCTGAGCACCACACAGTGTTTACAGAGCGTTTCTATACTTAGTTTATTGTGTGTATGTATTGGAAGTTCTCAGATGTGGGTTCAAAGAGAGGCATTGAAACCGATTTTGGGGGAATAAGAAGTGTTATCAATGCCACGGGCAGACAGACAGACAGACAGACAGACAGACAGACAGACAACAAATAGTATGGTGGGGCTTTGAGGAGAGGACAGAGTGAGGGTGTCTTCTTATCCCTTTCTGAGGATGGGGAAGGTTTGGCAACACAACCCTGCAGACCTGTTCTCTGGTTTCCAGGCAGAAGGCAGGGAAGGGGGTTGGAGTTGGGATGTGTGGCTACCATACCCTCTCTGAGGTAAACTCTCTGACACCCTTTCACTAGAGTGGGGGGCTGTGTTATCTGTGAGAGGAAGGGGCGCTGGCTGCAGGGGCTGTGGGCTGAGCAGCTGCTGGTTCCGACACTGCATTCTTTGTCATGTGTGTGTGAGCTCAAGAGGCCCACTTCAGGGATGGCACGTGGGTAGGCAGGCGTGAAAACAACTAGTCCATTTTACCTTTTCACTCTGCTTTGTAATGGCTTTTTTCAAATGCAGTTGTACCTCAGTCAAGGAAAACATATCTTCCTCCTTGTTATTGTTCATTTATATGTTCCATTTGTTCATTTTTTTTTCCTTTTTGAAAAGAACTTGGCTATTTTATATGCATGGTGTTTGCCTGTATATATGCATGTGTACCGTGTGCATGCAGTGCTTGAGGAGGCCAGAAGAGGGAGCCAGATCCCCTGGAGCTGGACTTGGTGACAGCTGTGAGCTGCTATGTGGATGCTGGGAATTGAACCTGGGTCCTCTGGAGGAGCAGCCAGTGTTCTTAACCATGGAGTCACCTCTCCAGCCCCCTTTCCTCCTTTTTAATGTTAACGCTTATTTAAAATGTAAAGATAATGGGAAACCAATATCACGATATTGTGAGACCCACGCTAACTTTCTATAGGTGGGAGGTGAGGTCACTGGAGTGGCTTACCTTCTGTGTGACTCTTCACAGGATGCTGGCGACAGTCCCTCTGGGTCATGGCTTTAAGGGTGCACAGCAGTAAAATGGTCTCAGTTTCTAGGGGCACTTTCCTCCACAGACACCAGTGGATTATAAAATGGAGAAACACTGTAAATCCCAGCAACTAGCTTTGGGAACAGAAAGCCAACCTGAGATTTGAGCGTAGGAGATGTTTGATTTTTTTTTTTTGAAAATTAGCCTTTTAATTCAAGGTTATTGCTGATTTTTATGCAGTTACAGGAATTCTGCAGACACTGGGTGCCTCCCTCCCAGTGACACCCGCAGGGGTCGCCCCCCAGGATGCTGACCTGGAGAAGTCCCAGGAAAGCAGCCTCTGTGCTTCTCAGGTCCTCCAGATCCCTGCTCCCATGTTTGTCTTCCCTGCTGCTTGTGCCCTGTGTCCCACAGCTGCTAGGCTCTTCCCTGTGTGCTCTGTGTGCGTGGCTGGACATCAGTAGTTGGCTCCCCCGCTTGTTTTTTGAAGTGGCGTCCATGGCACAGTCGCACCACAGTATATCAAACCACTAGCAATTTGACAGACATCTGAGTCTTTTCCAGTTTTGAGAATTACAGATAAAATAGCTAGACATCGGCTTCTTTGTAAACCCTTTCTCAGGGTAAATGTTCAGGGGAAACATTGTAATTCAAGTTTTAATTCTTTCTGGTTGTTATTATTTTTGCAGTGTTGTGGGGGTTGCACCCACTATCCTTGCATGCCAGGCAAAGCGCCCACCACTGTGCTGCACCCTCAGGCTTTGGCTTCTGACGTGGAGTTTTTCATACAGCCAGACTGGCCGTGAACTCATGACAGGCCTGTGACTGCCTGGACCTGTGTGCTGCAGTACACACTCTTGGATTTTAAAGACACCAAGCTGGTTTACAGCGTGGTTGCCCGATTCACACCCCTCTGCCGAGGTGTGAGTCATGTGGCTTGTCACCACCCCAGTTGGTTCTGCTGCTCCCTCTGGCTTCTATTTTAGCTGTTCTGATAGGCACACAGCATTGTCTCATTTGGGGGTTAATTTGCATCTCCCTGATTTTCGTGGTACTGAGTTTGACAGCTGTCTCTCCTCTTTGGTACAGTGTCTCTGTGCCTTCAATATTAGATCAGCCATTCACAGCCCCAGACAGTGAAACTTCCCCTCATGGTTGTTCTCCAGACAGTTTGTAGTTTGTTTATGTTTGAGCCGGTGTGGTCCGTTTGAGTTACCTGTTTGTACATGGTGTTGGATTGAGGTTGAGGTTCACCTGTGGTTTTCTTGGTGACTGTCTGGTGTCCCCAGCTGACTGAGACACTGAGTCTCCCTGTGGGTTTGTGACATTGGTTGGATCCATCTTGTGGGGCTGTTTGTGGCTGGCTTTCTGTCCGGCCGTGAACATCAGTTCTCCCGTAGTGAGATCTTATCTCTTGAAGCCGTGTTGTGTAGTCTCACACACAGCCCCAGCCTCTCTGACCCTCACTCTAGTCTGTTATTTCCGTACCCTCTGGTCAAAGTGAGACTGTGATGCATGCGTTCTTCTGTGCCGCAGAAGTGGGCCTTGAAGCCCAGCACTGTGATTGTGGATTTGTCTTTGTTTTACTTTTAAAAAATTTTCTGGGGTTTTGCTTTACATTGTTTGCAGCTCTCTAACTGGGGATTCACATATGGGGTTGGTGTGTGTGTGTGTGCATGTTATACGTGTGTGTGTGTGTGTGTGTGTGTGTGTGTGTGTGTGTGTAAGCAGTATGTGTATATATGTCTGTGTATATGATGTATGTATATGTATATTTTTGCTGAACTGACTACTATAGTTCCTCTTGGTCTCTATCAGGTTTGGTTTTGTTCTGAGGTCTCTGCAATCAATACAGACATCACTGCTTTCCATTTACTACTGCTGTTACATAACGTTTCAGCTTTCACAGCCCATCTACCAGTCCCACTAAATTTTTATGTGAGTTTCTTGTAGGCAGCTTAGAGTTGGGTCATACTTTTTTTTAATTCTACTCTTCCAGCCTCTGTCTTTTAATTGCTGTATTTATGTCATTTATGTTTAATGTAATTATTAAAATATCTGATCATGTGTGTGGCAATTGACTTTTGTTTTCTGTTTGTCTTAAGTTCTTTTGTTTCCTTTTTACTACCTTCTTAAGAGTTTGTTGAGCATGCAATTCCATTTTGACCTTTTTTCCTGTGGTGTTACTAAATTCTCCTCTTGTGTAGACTTTGTTTTTGTAATTGCTCCAAGGTTTTTATGCAAACATATCAAAGTCCATTAGTGTCATTTACTAGTCCAAGTGGGGTATAGAAAATTCCTCCCTCTTTATTTTTATATAATTGTCCAAATGTAATTTTATAATTGTTGCCTTAACCATCAAGCACAATTAGAAGATATAGTGGACGTTCACTCACCTGTGCATTTGCTCTCCTGCCTACACTGCAGGCTTCCTCATCTCGGCCTTCGCTTCCTCTTTAGAGTTTTGCACTTTCACCATCTTTGAGGGTAATTTGTTAGTGACCAGTTTGCCAGTTTTGTAGATAACAAATTTCTGAGCACTGGCAGTTTCAGAGGAGTGAGCGTGTTACTCAGTGGCGGTCAGCAAGGATGGAAAAGATGGAGGAATGACTCCACACTGGGCAAACACTTCAGACTTGGAGCACGCGGTGTGGCACAATGTGGGATGGAAGGAGCACTGGGAACCGAGGAGTTAGTTCTCAGTGGTGGACGCCTTCCAAAGGGACTCATCGCAGACTTTAGGGGCCGGCGAGATGGCCCAGGGGGGACAGGAGCTTGTGGCCAAGACGAACCTGAGTTAGATCCCAGAACCCACGGCAGGCAGGCAGGCGGAGGGAGAGAGCCAGCTCCCGAAAGCCGCCCTCCCTCTTCCTCAGGTGCTGCGGCGGGCGGGCGCCTGCCTGTGCCTGCCTGAGCCCGCACTAATAACACCGCGGTTGTTTAAAGCCAGTGTCCCCACTAAGAAGATGAGCGCTTCGAGGCAGCCTGACGTGACGCATGCTTCCCCCTTGCAGGCGATCACACTCTTAACGGAATTAATCCGGGAGAACTTCAGGAGCAGCAAGCTCAAGCAGTGTCTCCTGCCCACCCTCGGACAGCTCATCTACCTCGTGGCCACGCAGGTGAGGCTGGCCGTGAGCTCCGACCCCCGTAACCGCCCACAGACAGCCGCCCCTGGCCTCTCCCCTTAGCGCATACCTCGGGGCCTTGGGATACTATCTGTCCACTTCTGGGGACGGAATCTTCTGCCGTCCTCACGTCCTTCCTGTGGTCCCCCCGTCCCGCTGCCCATCCGCCCCCCCCCCACGCGCCCTTAGCTTGGGAGACCCTCACGTTTAAAGTGGAGGCACTGCCGTGCTCAGAGCACTCTTCTGTGGCTGGTGTCTCCAGTCCTCCAGGCGGGAGATGTCGCTGTCCCACTGTCAGAGCCCCGCCCCCGCTTAAATGAGACGCTGCTTTGTGCAGAGGTTAGTGTGACTGTGGGAACTTTTGACGGCGGGACGATGAAGTGCAGTTGAGGTCAGCAGGGCGCACTTGCCGTTCATCAGTGTTGTAGAGACCATGACTGAATGGACCCTGACAGATGTGGGCTGTCCTGGGTCACACTTGTGAACTTCAGATATCCAGACAGGCTTCCTCTCGCTGTACTCTTAAAGTTTCTGCTCCTCAACTTTCCTGTCTCAAGCCCGCCTTGCCCGCCTAAGTCCCGGCACCCGTGCCCCTCACCTGCGCATTTTCTTCCATGACGCCTGCGTTTCTCTCTCAAGAGGACCTAGCCAGCCTTCCCTGGCTCCCCAGTGGCCTGGGCCCCCTCCTGCCCCTTGCCCTCCTGGACTTCCTTTGAAACACTCATCTCTATGTTGACTGATTTGTTTCTTTAGTATATTATATGTTTCTGTCTCTGTCCTTTCTTCAGCACTGTCTCGTCACCCCTGCATGGCTGTCTGGAAGCCTCAGGTCTAAGCACATGTTAGCTAAACGTCCTGTTGAGGGTTGGGGATATAGCCTAGCGTGTGTGGGACTCTGGGATCAACCCCAGGACATAAATGAATCAGTAAGTGAGTACATGAGCAAAGAAATGCATATATTGTATGCAGGCCCCCGGGGTGGGCAGGGAAGGAGTGGAGGCTGGAGAGATGTGGGGATGAAAGACCTCGGCCCACACAGTGCCTCACCCTAAGGGCAAGGAGAGCGAGCCAGGAAGGAGCCGTAATGTCTCTGAGCAGAGGCGGCATCCCCGGGGCTGAGCGCTTTGAAGGTCTAAGAGAAAGGACTGAAGAGAATCTACTGGGTGGTGACGAGAAGAAGGTCACTGGGAACCTGGGTCTGGGGAGATGGAGAATGCCAGCGGGGCGTGGTGGCCCCGAGATCCCAGTGTGGGAGACAGGCTCCCCAGAGCAAGCTGGCTCAGTGAGCCCTGGGTTCAAGTGAGAGGCTGCCTCAGTGTCGAAGGTTCAGACTCAAGAAAGATGGTGACGCCAACCTCTGGCTGTCACACCTGTATGCGTGTGAACACAGACACACACCACACACTGTACACACCACAGAGTGGGTGGTGACTCAACACTGGTTATGCGTTTTTCCCTGGAGTGGGGTGCAGAGTGAGGTGGAGCCGGCTGAGGAGACTGAGAAGCCAGCAGAAGTGGTTGTCTGGGGATGAACTGGGAGGAGGCGGCTCCTCCTGGCGCCCAGCTGGGCTTGGAGCATACTGTGTAGCTGGGGATGTCCTCAGAGGTCTGCTCCTCTGGAGAGGGAGACAGTGAACCTACCGAGGAGGAAAGGAGAGAAGACATTGTGTCTAGGATGAGAAGGTTGTTGGTTACCCATGGGCCTGGAGAAGGCAGGATGACAATGAAGCCCTGATCCCAAGTAGAAGGAGTGGGGCCGGGGTCTGTCCCTCAGGACACGGGGGAGCTTCCCAGCCTGCGTGGAGGACTGGGGGGCTGTCCCTCCGGACACGGGGGAGCGGGCCAGCCTGTGTGGAGGAGTGGGGGGCGGTCCCTCAGGACACGGGGGAGCTTCCCAGCCTGCGTGGAGGACTGGGGGGCTGTCCCTCCGGACACGGGGGAGCGGGCCAGCCTGTGTGGAGGAGTGGGGGGCGGTCCCTCAGGACACGGGGGAGCTTCCCAGCCTGCGTGGAGGACTGGGGGGCTGTCCCTCCGGACACGGGGGAGCGGGCCAGCCTGTGTGGAGGAGTGGGGGGCGGTCCCTCAGGACACGGGGGAGCTTCCCAGCCTGCGTGGAGGACTGGGGGGCTGTCCCTCCGGACACGGGGGAGCGGGCCAGCCTGTGTGGAGGAGTGGGGGGCGGTCCCTCAGGACACGGGGGAGCTTCCCAGCCTGCGTGGAGGACTGGGGGGCTGTCCCTCCGGACACGGGGGAGCGGGCCAGCCTGTGTGGAGGAGTGGGGGGCGGTCCCTCAGGACACGGGGGAGCTTCCCAGCCTGCGTGGAGGACTGGGGGGCTGTCCCTCCGGACACGGGGGAGCGGGCCAGCCTGTGTGGAGGAGTGGGGGGCGGTCCCTCAGGACACGGGGGAGCTTCCCAGCCTGCGTGGAGGACTGGGGGGCTGTCCCTCCGGACACGGGGGAGCGGGCCAGCCTGTGTGGAGGAGTGGGGGGCGGTCCCTCAGGACACGGGGGAGCTTCCCAGCCTGCGTGGAGGACTGGGGGGCTGTCCCTCCGGACACGGGGGAGCGGGCCAGCCTGTGTGGAGGAGTGGGGGGCGGTCCCTCAGGACACGGGGGAGCTTCCCAGCCTGCGTGGAGGACTGGGGGGCTGTCCCTCCGGACACGGGGGAGCGGGCCAGCCTGTGTGGAGGAGTGGGGGGCGGTCCCTCAGGACACGGGGGAGCTTCCCAGCCTGCGTGGAGGACTGGGGGGCTGTCCCTCCGGACACGGGGGAGCGGGCCAGCCTGTGTGGAGGAGTGGGGGGCGGTCCCTCAGGACACGGGGGAGCTTCCCAGCCTGCGTGGAGGACTGGGGGGCTGTCCCTCCGGACACGGGGGAGCGGGCCAGCCTGTGTGGAGGAGTGGGGGGCGGTCCCTCAGGACACGGGGGAGCTTCCCAGCCTGCGTGGAGGACTGGGGGGCTGTCCCTCCGGACACGGGGGAGCGGGCCAGCCTGTGTGGAGGAGTGGGGGGCGGTCCCTCAGGACACGGGGGAGCTTCCCAGCCTGCGTGGAGGACTGGGGGGCTGTCCCTCCGGACACGGGGGAGCGGGCCAGCCTGTGTGGAGGAGTGGGGGGCGGTCCCTCAGGACACGGGGGAGCTTCCCAGCCTGCGTGGAGGACTGGGGGGCTGTCCCTCCGGACACGGGGGAGCGGGCCAGCCTGTGTGGAGGAGTGGGGGGCGGTCCCTCAGGACACGGGGGAGCTTCCCAGCCTGCGTGGAGGACTGGGGGGCTGTCCCTCCGGACACGGGGGAGCGGGCCAGCCTGTGTGGAGGAGTGGGGGGCGGTCCCTCAGGACACGGGGGAGCTTCCCAGCCTGCGTGGAGGACTGGGGGGCTGTCCCTCCGGACACGGGGGAGCGGGCCAGCCTGTGTGGAGGAGTGGGGGGCGGTCCCTCAGGACACGGGGGAGCTTCCCAGCCTGCGTGGAGGACTGGGGGGCTGTCCCTCCGGACACGGGGGAGCGGGCCAGCCTGTGTGGAGGAGTGGGGGGCTGTCCCTCAGGACACTGGGCATTGTGTAAAGCGGTGCTTCCCATTGTGTGTGACAGGTACACAGTGGACGTGATTATTTCTTTCTCACAGATTCCCTGAGGAGGGTACAAAGTGGCAGGAGGGTCACAGGTTAGGTATAGAAAGAGAGATGGTCAGAGAAGCAGACAGACAAGGGAGTGAGTGGGTCAAGGTGCCCAGGGTTACTCATGGACTCTGTGACCTGCAGTGTCACCTTCTCCAGGAACCCTGCTGCTTGAGCTCAGGCCTGGAGAAAGCAAGTGACTGCCTGCCTGCAGCCTTGGGATCCCCAGTAAGGGCAGAAGTATGGCCAGAAAGTGAAGGCATTTCAGGCTGTTGGTGGGAGTGGAGAATTACAGTCCCAGTGTTGAAAGCCGCTGGGGGGGGGGTCCATGGAAGGTGGGACAGGGCGGGGGCAGATGGACTGAGGTCACCAACCCCTCTGTTGTCACTTCCCAGCACATGTTTTCCTCTCTCTGCTTTTCTCTGCTCCTTGTCTGTTTAAGGGTTGTACAGGGTGAGTGGCCCGGCCTAGTCCATAGAGGCTGTGAGAGCCTGGACTTCACTGTAATCACTCCCGTAGGGGCGATCGTTCTTCACTTTTACCTCACTCCAGATAACGGAGGATGCTGGGGGGGGGGCAGCCGGCTGTGCGAGGGTCTGCACAGCCCCCTATGCAAGACAAGAAGCAGACATTTTGTGTGCACATGGCAGTAAGAGGCCCCGGTCAGGAGTAGGTGGTGATGTCAGAGGAACGCTTCGGATGTGTGCTTGGACGCTCCAGCTCCAATGTCACTGTTTTTCCTCACCTTGTTTTTTTTTTTTTTTTTTTTTTTTTGAGAAAAGAAGCAGCACTCCAGGGACTACTGGGCTGTCCCCTTGGCTGCGTACACTGTGCTTATGAGGTGCCTCAGGGAAGGGGTAAGCAGCCTTTGTTGTCCTCTGTAGACGCAGCAACTGCAGTCGCCCTCCAGGCGAGGAGCCAGGAGTGAGGAGTGTAGCCACAGCAGTGTGCTTGCTTGTCACTGAGTGCTGCTCCTGAACCTAAATAATCCCGACAAGCTGGCATCCTTGTTCCTTAAGTACCCTGTTTAAAAGATGATGGGAAAGCCAGGTATGGTGGCGCACGCCTTTAATCCCAGCACTCGGGAGGCGGAGGCAGGTGGATCTCTGTGAGTTCAAAGCCAGCATGGTCTACAGAGTGAGTTCCAGGATAGGCTCCAAAGCCACACAGAGAAACCCTGTCTTGAAGAACAACAACAACAAAAAGAATGAAAAAGACAAATCAGGATGAATGTTTCCTTCCAGTGTCCCATGGAGGGCGGTTCCAGCACTGGCACTCCCTAGCGGTTGGTGTCTTGGCCAGTGTTCTATTGCTGTGAAGAGACACCATGACCACTTTTTTTTTTTTTTAAGATTTATTTATTTATTATGTGTACAGTCTTCTGCCTGCACACCAGCAGAGGGCACCAGATCTCATTACAAATGGTTGTGAGCCACCATGTGGTTGCGGGATTTGAACTCAGGACCTCTGGAAGAACAGCCAGTGCTCTTAACCTCTGACCCATCTCTCCAGCCCGACCATGGCAACATTTAATTGGTGCTAGATTACAAGTTTCAGAGGTTTGAGAAGCATGGCAATCTGCAGGAAGACAGTGCTGGAGAAGGAGCTGAGAGTCATACATCTTGTCCTCAGGCAACAGAAAGAGACACTGGGTGTGGCTTGAGTACCTGAAACCTCAAAGTCTGCCCCTAGTAACACACTTCCTCCAAGAAGGCCACGCCCACTCCACAAGGCCACATCCACTCCAACAAGGCCACGCCCACTCCACAAGGCCACACCCACTCCAACAAGGCCACGCCCACTCCAACAGTACCATTCCCTGGTAACCAGGCATTCAGATCCTTGAGTCTGTAGGCTCTTAGTCTGTAGAGTCATGTGACGTGACGGTGCATGTGACATGGGTGTGACGCACCCTCCTTTATCAGTACCGTGATAATGGGGTCCTCAGCTGCAGCCAGGACCCGTGCTTGGTTTTATCACTGAAGGCCTTAAGCTAGGACCCTTGGGGAACACAGGTGGAGACAGGGACAGTCCTGTGGACACACTAGCCTCACCTCTTGGGGAGACAAGATGAAACATGAGAGAGTACATATCACAAGGACGTAAGGGACAAAGAAGCTGGTGTGAGACCTCAGGCCACAGGGCCCTCTGCCAACAGTGAGCAGGCCTTGGGATGTCCTATCTTTATTTTTAAACTCAACATTGTTGCCTCCTGGAAGGTGTGTCTTTCCCAGACATTTCTCACTGTCTAATTGCTGAGGTGGGAACAATACCCAAATCGAGAGTGGTGAGTATTTAAGTACTTCACAGAGCAGATGAGATATAAAAGTTTTCAGGAACAGTAGATACTGTAGACACCTGGGTGTCACAGGTCACTGGGGAGGACTCTGTGGCTGAGAGAGTGGGTGTGGGCATCACAGGTCACTGGGGAGGACTCTGTGGCTGAGAGAGGGGGTGTGGGCATCACAGGTCACTGGGGAGGACTCTGTGGCTGAGAGAGGGGGTGTGGGCATCACAGGTCACTGGGGAGGACTCTGTGGCTGAGAGAGTGGGTGTGGGCATCACAGGTCACTGGGGAGGACTCTGTGGCTGAGAGTGGGTGTGGGTGTCACAGGTCACTGGGGAGGACTCTGGCTGTGAGAGAGTGGGTGTGGACGTCACAGGTCACGGGGGAGGACTCTGGCTGAGAGAGAGTGGGTGTGGGCATCACAGGTCACTGGGGAGGACTCTGTGGCTGAGAGAGTGGGTGTGGCAATGGCACTTAGCGCTAACCCTGATTTCTGCACGTTGTCCTCTGACCTCGGCACATATCCTGTGGTACATGCACACCATCCCCCAAACAAGTAAATGTAAGAAAAAATTAAGTCCTGTGGTACTGACAGGAGCGTGGGCTCCCAGGGGCAGCTTGTCTCCAAAGACCCGCAACCCCAGCATCTTTTAGTCTTTGGTTAACTCCGTCATCAGTTAACACCCACTTGACTCTACAGGATCTCCTTCCTTCAGTTGAGACTTAGTAGTCCATTCTCTGTGCCTTGACGGGCATCTGGGTCTTCCCCTCACATGGTGGTTTGAATAGCAACGGACTTGTGTTTGGATACTTGGCCTACAGGGACTGGTACTTGTAGGAGGAAGTGTGTCCCTGGGGGGGGGTAGGCTCATAAGCTCACACTTCCTGCTGCCTGCTCTCAGCTCCTGCTCCAGCGCCGTGTCTGCCTGTAGGCTGCCATGTCCCGCCATGATGATAATGGACTCAACCTCTGAAACTTTAAGCCACACCCAATTAATTGGTTTCCTTTATAAAAGTTGCCATAGTTATGGTATCTTTCCACATCAATAGGAACCCTAACAAAGTCACCTTATAATTGTAAAACTGACCTGTCTTTGTGCAATTATGCAGAAAGTGCTATTGCAAAGCCAAAGCCTCTGTCTGTTTACTGATCTAGAGGCAGTGGGGCCTGGGAGAGCGGAGCCTGAAAATGCGGTGGAATAAAGTTTCTCGCACCAGGCAGCCTTAGTCAGAGCATCAGACAGTTTTCACGCTGAGGGTTGGGAAGAGTCACCCGAGTAAAGTGAGCAGTCACAAGGACAAGCCACGTGAGACAAATGCATGTTTTCCCACAGAGGCACATAAACAAATAACAATAGCCAACTGAAATGAATCATCTAAGTGAACTCACTCCTATCCGCTACACCTGGGAGGTGACAGAAGCTCATTCCAAGAACAGCTCTGTGGTTTTGATGAAGCTGAGGTCACGAGACTTGTTTTCTTGCAGTTTCCTCACGAGCACTCAGAATTCTTCTCACACAACTTCATCCTTGGACTGTGTTCCGACACCTATCCAATACTCCATCTAGATAAACAGATGTGTTGCTGGTAGAAGGGCCCTGTGGGTATGAGCCTTCCTCTGTCCTGCAGTGCAAGCATCTGTCTCAGCTCTTGGTAAAAAATGCTTCATTCCCCGCAGGACATCCTCAACTGAGGCGTCATGGTGGGCGGGCCATAGCAGTTCCGAGCTGTGTCCTCTGTGTTTCTGTTGTTGAGTGAGGGCTACCTGGTTTCTGGAAACCTCCCCTCTTCCCTATTCACAAGAGTTCTTCTAGAGGAAGATCTCATTTTAAATAACAAGGAAAACTTTTACTGGTATCTTTATAGCTTTCGTTTGTGTATTGTCAAATGTTCAGTGAAACAAAAGTCTCTCAACAAATCCCAGTTATGTTTTTTCCTCATTATGAGTTTCCAGTATGAGTTCTTCCTAATGTGTGAAGTTGAGAGCTACAGAGGGTTACATTTGTAAGGTTCTCACCATTGTAACCCTCAGAAGAGCAACAAGGTGACAGCTCTGACTGAAGGATTCCTCACATTTATTAAATTCATAATTTTCTTAAAAAAAACTTTGTTTCCTGAAAAGCTAAGCCATCTGGCTATAGAGTTTTCCATATTTATTACATTAATCAAATGAATTTTAGAATGGTTTCATACCTACTGAGGGCTGAGCATGCTCTGAATAGTCTGTGACACTCTAGCTTTTGAAGGATCTCTCTTCTGTGTGAGTTCTCAGAAATGCATTGCGGGGAGAGCCTGCCGAAGGGTTTCCCACATTTAGCATTTTGGCTTTATTCCAAACTAAGTTCTTCTGTGCTTTGCTCTGTTACTCACCTTTGTTGCTATGATAAAATCCCTGGCTACTGCAGCCTGAGGGAGGAAGGGTGTGTTTTGGCTTGTGGTTTCAGGGTCCATAGTCCCCCAAAGCAGGGAAGGCATGCTGGCAGGCAGTTGCACAGTGGTGGGAACTTGTGGCTGGGACTCCTCAATTCTTCACTTCTCAGTGCATCAGGAAGCAGAGAAAGGAGATGGCAACTTCCTTTCCTTCCATTCTTTTTCTTTTTAAACTTTGTATTCATCCTAAGATCTTAGATCGTGGTATGGTGTCACCCACACGAGCAGTGGGACTTCTCTCCTTAGTTAATTGTCTCCGGAAATGCTCTCACAGGATTGTTCAAGGGCATATCTCCTAGGTGATTCTAAACCCAGTTAAGTGAAAATTGATGATCATATTTTCTTAGGGTTGAATTACCCTAGAAACCTTTCTACATATTTTTTTTTTTGAGACAGGGTTTATCTGTGTAGCTTTGGAGCCTATCCTGGCACTCGCTTTGGAGACCAGGCTGGCCTCGAACTCACAGAGATTTGCCTGCCTCTGCCTTCTGAGTGCTGGGATTAAAGGCGTGCGCCACCAAACCCACCCAGCACATTTGTTGTTTTTAAAGAGTTTTTCTCCAGCATTCTTTTCCATGTGGTCCCTAGCATGGGAGTTCCAGCCACAGCATTTTTAAGATTCAGTGCATTTAAAAATTCATTTCCAGCGGCTGGAGAGATGGCTCAGAGGTTAAGAGCACTTGACTGCTCTTCCAGAGGTCCTGAGTTCAATTTCCAGCAACCACATGGTGGCTCACAACCATCTATAAGATCTGCTGCCCTCTTCTGGTGTGCAGATATACATGGAAGCAGAATGTTGTATACATAATAAATAAGTAAAATCTTTAAAAAAATAAATAAAAATTTATTTCCAGTATGAGTTCTCTGAAGACTTGTAAGGAGGGAGCTCCAGCTGAAACTCTTCCCATGTGCTGCCCGTCCATGTTCTCTTATAAGCATTATCTGTGGGATGAATCCCACTGGACATCTTCCCACATTTGCTACACCTGGAGGTTTCATTCCACTGTGAGTCTGTTCATGTTTTAAGTAAGGGCTGGATACTTGCTACAAATATCTCTGCTTTTATTACTCTCACAGGATTTCTCTGCTGCATCAGTTTTCTGATATTCAATGGGATGAAAACTGGCAGTGAAAGGTCCTCCACATGCATTGGAGCACAGGGCTTTCCTGCAGCATAATGCCTGTCTGTGCACTAAGGAACGCACCACTCACACAGGCCTTCCCCACTACTGTGTTTTTTACTTTTTGAGCAGTACTGATTTGTGATGTTCCACCAAAGATGGCTGTAATAACACAGTCTCATACCCATTGTAAAAGCCATGTTGTTTTTAAAAAATTTTAAACTATTTTTAAGTGTATGTGGTGTGTGCAGTGCTCAAGGAGGCCAGAAGAGCAAAGAGCATTGTATTCCCTGGATCTGGAGTTACAGGCAGTTGTGAGTTGCTCAGTGTGGATGCTGGGAACAAAACTGGGTTTCTCTGCAAAAGAAAAACCTGCCCATCCCCTCTGAGCCATCTCTCTACCCCTATCCAGAGTCTGAGATATCACATTATCTTTGGATTTTTTGCTGGAGTCTCCCCCCCCCCCCCCACAGGGTTTCTCTGTGTAGCTCTGGCTGTCCTGGCACTCGCTCTGTAGACCAGGCTGGGCTCAAATTCACAGAGATCCACCTGCCTCTGCCTCCTGAGTGCTGGGTTTAATGGTGTGCACCACCATTGCCTGAGCATTAGTTATCCCCAGTGGTTCTGTGGAAACCGCAAGCACGTTTCTCTCTCTGAAGAAGACCCTTTGCTTGGCAAAATGGCACTTTTTGAATCTTCCTGCTCTTTGTTCATTCTCTAGGAGGAACGCGTTGTCAATCACATGGCTGCGAAGATCATTGAGAATGTTTGCACCACGTTTTCTGCCCAGGCGCAGGGCTTCATCACTGGGGAGGTCGGGCCTGTCCTGTGGCACCTGTTCAGACACTCCACCGTGGACTCCCTGAGGATAACAGCCATGTCGGTAAGCAAAGCATCTCTGCGGGATGTTTGGGGGCGGGGGGGGGGGGGGGGGGGGGTCCCCCCCCGCGCTCTTGGGGGGGGGCGCGGTGAGGGGGAGGGTGGGGGGGAGGGGGTGTGCGCGGGGGGGAGAGGAGG